CAGAAAGGCAGAGACAGTAAAACAGAAAACGTGAGGCTGCAAACAAGATTTTATCTCTGTTGACCCAGCCTGGAAACTAAATTGTTTAATTGATGGCTAAATAGATAAACAGAAGAAAAAAATTTGTCAATCACCCCCCCTAATCAGCTCTGAGACTCCAAGAGGCCAAACCAGTTACACATGAGTGTAAGAAGTGAATCCAACCAGAGTGTCTCACAAGACACTCTCTGCTGCCAGCAGTGTATCTTTTTATCTGGGTTTATAGGCTAAACCAGGCCGGCCTCCATAGGCAGCAAAGCTTTCACTATCAAAAAGATGTGTGTCAGTCTCTCTATCTCACTGTTTATCAAGCTATCCATATCAATTATCTAGCAACACAGGTGAGTCAGGAATTAAAATCCTTTAGATGTTCTTTTTGAAGAGTTTTTCCAATTTCCAATGGATGGTTGTAATTTATTTTTCGTGGTGTTAACACCTTTCTGCCCAATGTACTTTTTCCCCAGAAAGGAAATTCTAAACAGGTGCAAGACAGAGACAGGTTTCAAACTATTGATTTAATTATAAGCAGGCATATCTTTATAACTCACCAGCCAACTACATTAAGAACATAATGTCTTATTATTGTGACTGGGTTTTATTTGAAACAATACACATGTTGCTTTGTATTCACATCTAATTACCCTATTGTCTGGTAAACAATTTATAATGATGTCTCTTCTCAATCTTGATAACATATCAAACTAGATATTATCATAGAATTAAGAATTCATTCATTGAATGGATTCACTTATTCTACAACTACAAAGTAAGTGAGGTTTTTCTAAAACATCCAGTCAACCATTTAATTGTGTGTAGGAAGGATGCTCCTCAGAGTGAAGGAGAGTGTCTTTCTAATCCAAATTCATCTATGGCCATGCCAGACCACAATGAGAGAAGCCCAATTATGTATTTACTAGATTTTCCAGGGTGTTACTCGGACAAACTGACCAAAACATGACATTTAGGCCTTGACATGGACATAGATGATAGTTGGTAAGAAGACAGATACAGTTTGTAGACATTGGAGTATTCTGAAACACGTACAAATGTTGGTTATGCCCAATAAATATACTTAAGTGTAGGGAAAGATTATGATTACAGTTAACAAAAAGGCAAACATTAATTCCAGGTCTGTAACACAATGTGTATTCCAGTCTACTGCATGAAAGTCAGACTTGCTACACTCTTACTTTCTGCCTCTCTATATCAGGGGTACAGTACTTCCTGGATTTGCACTTGTAACAACTAATTGGCTGAATAAACACCCAGGTCAGCAACATATATGCAGATATATTTACACGTTTCTTCAGAGAAGTAGCCTATAACTCACAGTTCAAATACTCAAGTCTACATCCATTGTCCCATACACATGATTGAACTGCTCAATTACGTTACATTCAATAGGTACACAATAGAATCTCTTGAGTTTCTGTAATATTTTTTGTCTCTTACATTTTTGTTGCTCTCTTCCTTATAATTCATCCATTCATTCATTAATTCTTTAGATGTGTCAGTCAGTCAGTT